TCTAGTGAGAAGGTTAGTAAAGCTATATTGTATTTATAGAATGCGGTTGATATATATTATTGTGTTTTATTCGAATTAAAATCGATTTAATATAAGTGGCCAATCACTGCATATTCGATTATTGATTGAACATTAAAAGAAATATAATGAGCTTTTCTTAATCTTATATATATAAGTATTTATACTATTTTTATAATTGAATCTGATATAATAAACTGTAAAGTTATTATATCCAGTCTATATTGCTATGAGTCTGTGTAGTATCCTGCAAGAAAGCTTGAGGTTTTCCGGTTCCGAGGTATTATATACCAGTTTCCATGTATTGTACGTTTTGGAGATCAGACCCCTTTTTTCCTTTTATTATTTATTTTTGGAGCGTTAATATTTGGTATGTAGGATAAAGCAGGAACTGCTGATTGTAGGAAGGCAGGATAGGCTAGGGTCAAGCGATCCAGCTGTATTCTGATCAGCAAAGCAATTAACTGCCTCGTTACCCTTAATCTCAGTATACCCAGGGGACTATTTGATTACAATATTGTAATATTATATTACTTAATAGTATTTATAATATACCTATTGAAAGAAGACAGTAGCACTTCCTTGTATTCCCCAGATTACTGAGGTGTTATTAATATATAACTATATTCGTTTCTAGTAAGAGCGATTAATAATACTCAGGAGGCATTCTAGTCTCTGCTACATGCTAATCGCCTCAATATCAAAAATATGCGACTGTTCGTGTATATAGCTATAGCCGGTATCAATCTATTGCTTGTCATAATAAATTACAAAGCCGTACTTTACATGATAACCGTGTTTGTTATATTATTCAAACCCATCTGAAAATACAGAATAATCTTCTTAAGGGATTAAGTTCTATTATTCCTTGAATACTTTTGTAATATTCTCTTTATTTATATTATTTATTGGATTAGTATAGTATTCGGGAGAGAAATGAGACTATAAAAGTCTGGGATACTTGGTGGTAAAGATTGTCTATTCTATTCTTTACAGTTTTATATTGGAATCTTTCAGAGTATCTGTATCTCATTCTCTTTTCCTGATATACAATTTTAATCGATTTACAAATAGATATTGTGTATTCATTATTTGAAGTCGAAACGCGAATCTCAGTTTAGCTTACTTTAGTACAACAATTCCAACTGGGAGATTAGCTTTTATAAGGAATATAGTTATCAGAATTGTCTTATAGATAGGTAAAGCTCCCTATACCATATTATAAATTGTCTTGCTGACTAGGTCGATGTGTTTCTTAATCCTAATACCAATTGAAATATAGCCTGCATTTAGGCATTGTTTATATAGCCCATCGAATTATATTTTGAAGCTGAAGAGAGTGATAAGGAATATACAGATAATAATCGCTTTTCGCAAGCAGGCTGCAGATAGTTTATAGACTATATAAACTATTAATCAGATATAGAATATAACACATATAGCTTTTGCAATACATATTTTGATATACTATAAGAATATTAGGTACTAATCAAAAAAAACGCTAAGTTAGCATAAGATTAGTTATACTCTATTAATAAGCCCTAAAGGGGTTGGCATAATAACTAGATTCCGATTTATCTTTATAGTCAAATTTGCAATTTTATATTTTCTTGATATATAAAATAACTCAAACTTTTTTAAAATGAAAAAGATCTTATTCTGATTTTTTTATTATAGAATACATTGAATGGTTTAGCGAAGTATACATATATTTATGAATAGATCCTTAGATGTGTAGTATATAGCTATATTATTAATATATCTGAAATACTATATTCTATCTTGATTGAAAAGCTCAATAAAATAGAGGGTGTATAGGATAAAAGAGAATGGTAATCCCTAAAGAGTACTGTATATAATCGGGAAATCCTGTATTGTGATTCTTTTAAATCTTATATATATATATCTTTCAGTTAGAAATAAATTAACGAGTTGTAAGAATGCTATAAACTAATTCTACTTCTTTATATATTATAAAAGCCGTTTTTTAAAAAATATATTATAAACACCTTATATATCTATTATTACTAGTATAATCATTTTACTAGCTACTAAAGTATGTTTAGCATTATAAATAAAGATAGTTATAAGATTAATATTAACTCTTTTTGATAATACTTTGTAATACTAAAGCTAATAACATTATATCTTATAGCTATCCATATAATTTGACTAGCAATATATCTTTCTAATCCTTTTTCAATATACGATATCAATATAATCAGTCTCTATAATTTCGGGAATATTTTATTCTTCTTACCAACCTTAGGCAGTATAATTATTTCAGCAAGTTTCCACTCGTTAGAATAATAGCTGAGCCTAAGGTAGACTGCGAAAATCTTATATATTACACTCTTCGTACTAAGCCAGTATGCCTTGAGAAAACAAACGGTTACCCGATTGACTCCGGGTAATATACTTCTGATTTCTATTACATGTTTTTTCATTTTTTCCATAATAATTATTCTTTTTTATAATAAAATTGTTTAATAGTTCTATTTCTATAAAGGATTATACTATAGATCATTCAATACTTTAAAATAATTAAATATTATTATAAAAAGTACTTCAGCTTTTTTTTTAATATTAATAATTTTCTAACCTTCAATTACTAAAGGAGAGGCCTTAAGGCCTACTTCTGAAATTAGTTTGTACCAATTTATAACTTTATATAGTTTCTAATTATTTTGTATATTATTTAAGTACTTAATTTAATAGGCTTGTTTCGATATTTATATGACTCTTTGTAGATCCTGTTAGGCAATTGTTATTCTATTAATAATTCTAGTTTTTCTAGCTTGTATATATATTTGGTATACCTCCTTACACTCATCGGTCTACTATAAGAATAATCGATAGGGTTTACAGCCTTTCTACCCCACAGCTATTATAGAGGTACTTAGTATACTTGTAAGTCTGGTGATCAGTCTATCAATATTATAGATAGATCAGAGGTTTGGGTTTTGGAGGTTTATTAAGTGGTTGGTTATTATACTTGTTAGGCAGGGTAAATCTGAATTGTATATCCGGATATACGCTTGCTTGTATTCAGAGGTTCCTCTATCCGAGATGGTAATAATTTGAATGATATAATTAAAGCTACTGTACAGATTGTCATCGATTATTGTTGTAGCGGTAGTTAGATTGAAAAAGGTTAGATCCAGAATATATCCCTTTGTATACATAGGGATACCAGGAGTCCCGATATACTCCATTTCCTGTTTAACAGTTCATTATACAAATATATTATCTTAGTTGGTAATTATTACTCCGGGTTCCCATAGATCATACTTAGCATTGAAGTCATCTTCAATAACCGTACTAGTTTCTAAGGCGATCTCTAGTCCAAGTATGTATTCTATTATTAATAGATCGAGTAAGATATAATAGGTATTGAGGATTGAATACTTATTAATATTAATTCAAAGTAGATCCCTGCTTTCAGTTTGCCTCATTTATCTGATCTTCAAGTTGCCTCTTTTTTGTACATAGATGATCACTCGTGGTCTATGCTCAGGGCTATTAGTCACTCTCTAGGTGTCGATTGGCTGGTATTGGTTATATGCGGCATGATTTTGGGTTGCTGAGTTATTGTATAGTCGGGGTTCTTGGACACAGATGATATCCATATCAGCCTCTCCAGCGACCTGTAGGAGGGATATGAAACTCTATAATAAGTCTACTAAATCACTTATTAATATCTTACTAATTAAGAGATATCTTAATGAATAATATCTATATAATAAGATTTTATATTATAGAATTATATTATTATATAGTTATATAATAGTATATTTTATTAAATTGATTTATAATAGAATAGAATGAAATAGAAGTATATAGAAAACTATTAATTAAAAATAAATCAAATTGATTGATATACTTTCTTTTTATAATATAATATAATTCTATAAGATATAATTTAAATCGATTTTACTTATAAGTATGAAAACTACTAGAATTTCATTATAAATTAAATAAATCTACATTATTCTTTGGAGAAAACCTAGGAAAAAGCAAGCAATTCCATCTCAATTTAGCCTAGTTCTTATAAATTGAATCCAATTCAACTCTTATATTATATGTTCGATTCGTCCCTAAGCTTAAATTGACTAGACCTTCCACTATTATTATTATAAAAGCAAACCTTCACGAGTAACAATACATCGTGGAGCCATGTCCGCTGAGGGTGTTGTTCACAAGAAATTTTAAACATCCAGGTGTTGTAATTTTCTAGTTACAGGATGAGGTTCATTATTATATGTTATTTGATTTATTTATTCGGCTGTATCCGTTGACGAGCAAGTCGACTGGATCCCTACATATCCCCTGATACTTCTACCAGATCCGAAGGGTAATAGGGCATAAATCAAAAAATTCTATATCTAGGTATAGCCACTTCAAATACTCGGTCCTCCTAGCTTGGTTTCTAGGGCCAACCAAGCTGGTGTTGAAATTGTTGCAGACAAGTATTATGTCAAGAATTTTCACAAATCTGGCATAATTCTGTCTTTGCTATAGAGAACCATATATAGTCTGACGTCTATTCAAGAACCAGAATCTGTTCTTGAGCAGGTTCGATAACTGCCAAAAATCTGCTTCACTTTATTTCCGAAGAGGGGCAAAAAAGGAGCACCAAGAGATATAAACTTAACTTCCCATTACAAGCTGTTTGAATATTCACATTTGCGAGCAGATTTTGGGTGAAGCGGATTTTTTGCCGATTTCCTTTGAAGCTATTATGTAAATCTTGAGAGACAAATTTTTCTTCAGCTTTCCTGACTTGATGTTAAATCTATCCCAATACAAGATACGATAAATCCGATATTTTGCCATTTGTTTGTATGCACGTATATATATGTATACGTCAATCAGTGACTTCGATCATAGCAATCCTCCTCATCAATCTGCCTATCCTCATTGGCCAGAAAACTTGAGAGTGCCGACATCATGTTATTCAACACCATCACGCTTTTGCTCTCATGTGCTTCCGCTCCTGCTTTAGCACCTGCAAATCCACCACACCAGAAACCAGAAGCATTTTCTTCTGGAAAAGAAACAACCGTTCGCTTCTTTACGAATACCCACTCGGAACATTCGTCGAGGCTATCGCAGTTCGCCCTAATGGCGAGCCTCTTCTTACACTGCCTTATAATTCTTCAGTCCATAGCATTGACCCCCTGTACTCAAACTATACCCCGAAAGTTGTGCATAATTTCGATGGCCTCACCATATTTGGCATCACCGAGTATGATCGTGATATCTACGCCGTAAATGGTGGCGGCTTCTCTTCGAGTACAGGTCCAGTCATTGGCACTTATCGTGTCGATTCTTTAAATTTAACGCAGACCACAGCAACGTCGTCCACCATTGCAAACATTTCTTCAGGTCAATTTCTCAACGGTATGACTTCCTTGCCTCGGCAGGGCGTTGGGCCGTCTAATGTGCTCGTCAACGATGTCGCCGCTGGCGTGGTCTACAATCTAGACCCCATCTCCGGCAAATATTTCATTGCCATCAACAACACCTACACACAGGCACATCAACACACCAACCTTGGGGCTATAGGCGTTAACGGCATCAAAACTGAAGACGGAATGGCTTACCTCACCAATACAGGTCTAGGCATGCTTGTATGTTTTCCCATCCACGAAAACGGCACAGAAGTCACAGGTGGACCAGTTGAAATCTTGTCCCACGAGGCGAACTTTACTTGGTTCTACGACGATTTTGCGCTCCGCGGCACCATTGCTTATGTTACGACTGGCTCTGGAAATTCTATCGAGCGCGTGGTTGCGCCTGCGGTAGATTCACGGGGTCCGATTACTTCCGAGATTGTGGCAGGTAGTCTCAATTCTACGATTGTAGCAGGACCAACAGCTGCGGCTTTTGGGCGCACGCCTTGGGATAGTCATATCTTGTATGTTACTACAAGTGGGGCGTCGAATGTACCTGTGGACGGGAGGGTTAGGATTGGCGCACAGGTGCTGGCTATTGATACCAAATTATGCTCATGGTCTTAGATAATTTGGTGTTAGAATCTTGACACAGATTTTATAAAATTTATACATCATGAAAGAAAGAGAAGGGAAAGAGACAATAGGGAAAAGTTGTACTTTCTGATTTGTACATTGATTGTCGGCACACAACTTCATGTCCAAGAATATTGAATCTCAAGCAACGGTTAAATAAAAAGAAAGAAAAGAAGTAGATATCGGTATAATCGTACGGATGTAGTAGTTGTATGATATTCTATTGTACCGAGTGTAGTATTTTCGCTATATTTTAGTCTTAGAAATATTATCTAATCATTTCCTACTATATAATTAAGAAACGATAATGAATGTCAAAATCCTGAATATACAAGTTAAACTTTAAAGTGGGGGTTCAATTGAATGATACAAGGAATTGTCTTCATTTTTATAAGTAAGTAGAAAAGCTTCATAAAGTAGTTTAATTATGATCTACGTCAATTATCGAAATTGGAGACATTTGAGCTTAACTACCGTTCTAACGTGAATGTGAGGTTGGTCGATCAAGATTCAATCTGAGACAAGTCGTCTGGGGAAACAACATCACAAAATTTATTTTCCCTTACAGTCGGAGAATTTCTAACCATCATATTTGTACTGATCGTCTATGATCAGAGAATTTCAAGTCTAGATCACAACTCTATGACATCTTCTTGTCATTGTACTGATTAATATTCTCAATGAAGAAACATGTCTACCAAATAATTCTCTACAAACTCCCATTAAGACTGTATCATCATAAAATGTCCTATATCTGACTGATAGCAATCTTATGGTTACTGTATATATTGATCATCGATCCATAAAGAAGTACTAGAGCATGGTTCTAAATGGAGGTGAATTCTCTAATTTCAGTCTCACCGCCTTCGATTTACCATCAATCAACTCATTCTGCGCATACAAATCAACATTGAAATTCGAATGCGGTGAGATAAGATTGGTAGTATATACCTCCGTGTATGATGCAGAATTCATGATAATCATAGATTACAGCGTTATCATATTTTCTTGATGGAGGTATTCTCAAATGAAATATGAAACACAGTACATTAGAGCCAATTTTTATTTCGTCTATTTCCGCCTTGTGTATAGTCGTTGGACGATCGCCACCCGTGTCTCAAAATGTCAGAAAGCTTACACTGAAATTATCTGTGTATGGTTTACACCTGATTATCTTCACCTCAATTAAGAGAATACTAGTGCCGAAACGAAATCGAACAAAGTGAGGCTCATTCATGATTACCTTCAAGTTAATGTGTATAAGAAGGTGCTCATATCTTCTTATTTTTTCAATCATTCAAGTCGTCCACACATACCATCAAGCTTTCTTTACAAACATTATAACAGTGCAAGCCTACCAGCCACCAATAAATCACCACCATGAAGCTCCTCTTTGCAACTACACTATTCTTGGCTTCGGTCATGGCCATGCCCAGTCAACTTGCAGCCGCGCCTGATGCTACTACTGAGATCGGATGTATGTTTGACGTAATCTCACCCTTTTCCCGGCATTCCAGCTGATACCGTTACAGATGTTCAAGGAGCTAGAAGTGGGCCTCAAGATGACCTGAGCAAGAGAGATCTCGTGAAAGAGAGTAGAGAGGCGGCGAATGAATTCTGTTCAGGAATATATGGTAAGTCACAAAATCATACGGCTTCTTCCACAGCTTGTATTTTCATATTTTGATAAACGAGACTAACCATAGGGGGTTTAAACAGGATATTGCTCAGATACCGTCAAGTGCTGCGATGGCCGGATCTGCACACGTTGCGTAGGGGATACTGCCCCGATAAACATTTGCCATCCTGCTCAATGCGCAGCCTTTCAAGCCTAAATGGCTACATTAGAGCCATAACGGTTGCTTGAATACTTATCTAGGTGTTGGGAGTTGTATCTGTTGGCAAAAGATGTTTGACTTGCATGTGGTTAGTATACAAGGTGGTAGGCGGCGGTGGGGGAAACAAGAATGGACTTTCACAGTTGTAATCTTCTATAATCTAAGGGGCTGTCTTGTATCATGGGACTCTTTTAATCATGTACTTTGTCATTGCTTAATTCAACATTTTATCATTGCATCCTCTGTTTATTCCATGCAAAGTGCACGAATGTAACCTCGCTTCTTGCGATATATGATAGAACCCAATAGTCCCATTGCCTCGTAAATCTCGTATTCACACAAACAAAACGCGGGGAGTTAGTTTGTACATGTCCCATTGCTCAATCGATCATGGACCTATATATCTCAAACGAATATAGACACGAATTAACACAGCTTAATTCCGGTAAGCCCCAGGACGCAGAATCCGTTGCTTTGATCCATAGGGAACCATTCCACTCGAATCCACTCCTTATACCGCGAACGCGGGTCCATTTGATAGCTTGCTATCGCGACGAGACTACTGCATTACTACTCTTCGATGCGACTTGATGTTTCTCCAGATTCCAGAAAATACCAGCATACGGCTAGGTGTAGTGGAGTGAGTCGTAAAAAGTATTCTATTGCACATACAAGATAACATACTTTCCTGTGTTGGAAGATGTTGAAAGATGTTCAAATAGGAAATTTCACTTGAATGATGAGGAAATTAACTGCTATGTGGTACATGATGGTTCAAAATGACAGAATGCGCGCCCACTTTGAGCATTTGACAACTAACCTTCATTTTCAGCCATTGATCATACTATCTCAGTGACATTTTTTCATTCATCAAAAACTACTTAAATAGTGAAAACCCTGACGGGCCACCGTTACCAAAGAAATGCGCGCAAATTTCAGATAAAGGCACCATCTGAAGTCCTACATCTTGAAAACTGGTTCGACTGACAATGAGCCACGATTAAACCTTTTCGTTTGGTCCAACTTCTTGAATAGCATCACTAGTCCTAATCGACTCCCTACGTTCCACCGTCGGTTCCTCACCCAAAGTGTCACCGACGCCACCTCTAACATACTCATCGTCATCAAGGTGCCTATACAAAAAGTAGAACCAGATTGCCATTAAAGTTCCCAGTACCGCTGGTGCAACATAAGGCCAAATCAAATACGGGTCCACTAAACTCGGAGTACAAGCTTGTGCAATTGCAGCAGAGAGAGCTGTAGCAAACAAGTACATGGAAGTGACAAGACCTTTCATATTTGCAGGAGCTCTTGAATAGGCGAGTTCAAGGGCAGTGACATTGCAAAAGCATTCAGATATACCTCCAATCATCCATTGAGGAAGTTGCCACCAGATACTGAGTGGAGCAACACCGGTTCCTATTTCGCAACCAGTGGCATAATACCCACACGGTGATGTTTCATAGATTCTCCATTGAGTGATCGCGCCAATGGCAGATGAAACCGCGGCAATAAGAAAACCGAATGTTATTCTTTTGATAGGACCGAAATGAATCTTATGGCGACGGAGAAGTGGATAAACTCCATAAGAAAGAATGGGGATGGTAACGATAACAGTAAGAGCATTGAAATTATTGAGAATATCATTAGGTGCATCGTTGGTTACCATTGCTGAGCCTTGGGATGTCGTAATGTTTCCTATACCTCCATCGTTCAAGATGTAGATTGGGAAGAACAAGAAAATAGTGCAGGCTTCCAAAGATCGTTTGACATCCTCGACAAAATTGTCATCCCAGTCTACTGGCTTACCATTATGTTCACCAGTGATACCTTCTGCAGCGAGAACGGAAGGTTTTGCAGCATCGAGATAACCCTTGCGCCCAAATTTCTTCAGACCATTTCTTCTCAGGGAGGTACCGATAACTCTGAAAAACTTTCCGAGATCGCTTCCTTGCGGTGGATATTTGACCAGTCGTTTATTTATTGCCCATAGCAATATCGGAAGTAAGAGGTAAAGAACCATTGGTAATCCATAAGCCAGCCAGAACCCAACTCTCTTTTCGGAATATGTTGTAGCAAGACCAAAAAATGCGCCAACATTGACCATACCATAGAAGGCTAGAGCGAGTCTCTGAGCAGTAACTTCAGGGTCAAGAATAACACGCTCCCCATCGGGGAGAGTCTTGACTATGAGTCCCTTTTGTGTGTCCTGGTCGAGAAGCATGGGAGAAACGTTACTCTTGAATAGACCTGAGGTTTCACTCAGCATTATACTTTTAGATACATCTTATAAGACATACCAGCTCCCAAAGCCAAGATCAAAATTCCAATGACAAATGGTGCCATGCCGTGACCAGCTTGTAATACACTAGGTAAGGCTCCAAGAACCAAAACAAGATGCGCAACTCCGAAGACAAAAACTCCGATACAAATAGTTTTGAAACGTCCTAATTTTGTATCTGCGAGCCATCCTCTGTATGTCTAAGTAAGCAAGAGATAACCAAAGACGAAGAAGTGCTGAACGAACCCAAAGACAGGTACTGTATATGCTAAAAATTTGAACAAGAGACCAAGGGCAGATGAAACAGTAAGGCCTTTACCCAAAGCGCCTGGTGTAAGCTGAGTACCTTTGGGGGTTGCGCCAGCTCCATTTCCTCCTTTGCTATTATTTCCGTCAGCAGTGGACGAAAGACTAAGAACAAATCTTCGTGGAGATATGGAGACATACGGGAGTGGGAATTGAACAAAGTTCGAGAAGACAAATTGGCAACCATAATAGCTTGCGCGCTCTGCAAATTCGATGAGACAGATCATATAAGCAGTCCATGGAATTGAGCCAGAAATTCTGCGGAGTGTAGTTCTCTCTTCTTCAGTGGGACGTAATAGTCCATCCTCATCGAGGGAAGGTTCATGATCGAACGCATGAATTTCGCTTGAGATTTTGGCATCAAGGTTATCTGGCGCATTTGCCAACAGACCGGTCTGATATACTGGAGCACTAGTGAGCGCATCAGTAGTAGTAGCCATGGAAGCTAACAGATTTTGTGTTAGTAGATGGCGCCTTATCAATGGATTTGATGTAATCAGGAATAAGTACTCATGTTTTATGCCTTAGGTAAAGAGTTTCGCAGTAGAGTTCGAGATGGGCGTCAAAATGAGGTTCATGAAAGCCAACATGCAGTACGATCAAAGTAAAGTACCATCAACAAGTAACTCTTGAGTTCATACAGCCGAGGGTAGAGTTCGCAGTGAAAAAGCTTGAATGAATCACAAGTATGATAACAATGAACTAAAATGGGATGATATTGAGGGGAATCAGGAGAATATATCATGGGTAGCACGACATGGTGTCAAAATTCACTAACCATTTTCATGTCACCCAATGCAACACTTGGCATGATAAACATTTATTTCCATTCCTTGGTATTTGAAGTCGTATTCACATGCAGCATCCCAAAAGGTTACATTTCCTGCTTATTGGGTCCCGATGATAGCCTACCATCATGATTTTTGGTTGAGGAGTCTCGACATCCTACCCTTCATACTGCGATATACGACAACCTCAATTCAGAGTCCCAAGAGCTTTCTCGGGCCTGTACCTGAATTTGGAAAATTAACATATTCTCGAGATGCGTGCCGTGCCTCATGATCACTAGGAGTATCCGCCCTTCTTGATGAGGAAGGTGGTTAAGAGATGAGAGGCGGTTCTCGAAGTTCTTGTAGTCTTAGGTCTTTGCGCCGATGTCTTGTTGCAATCCAGAATGATCAAATCAGAATTATTTGTGGTACAATATTTCACACTTGTGATTGGTACAGCACATTGATGGCTGCGCTCCAAGGCTCCCAAGTCCTGCCAAGGGCGAGCAGACGAATCACAATTCATCGTCCTATCAATATCGCATTTGATGCTGCTAGGAGCTCAGTGATAATATACGCTTGTTAACGTCGAGATTCTTGCGGCAAATTCTTGGTAGGATTATTGGGCCAAGTGAAGACGGTCCAATTCTTTCGCATCCCCTCAAAAAATTCATGATAGAGCAACATGAGCAATAAGCAAGTAGTCAATGCCGAAGAAGGCTTCACGCTCTTGGCCATCCCGTTTCCGCGACCACAGAGATTGAAACAAACATTCTCGTCCTTATTCTTGCGTTGTCATCTTTCTTGCAAGGACCTTCTTTTGAAGAACGATTCCAGAATTCTGGTCGTAAGAGTCAAGATCAGCCCATCTGCCCACGAACTCACAATTGATATTTTTTTGAGATACTAAATGGTGGACTTGGTAAGGATTTTCAATGCTATGAAGGAACAACACGATTCGTAATACTGCACAATGGCTTGTAATGAAGAGAGGATCTGGCAATTGCAATTGTAAGACTGTGTGATGCACAAGTGGAAATTACTAGTACATTGCGTGTAAAGTCTGTATCACGTACCGTACCCTAGCTACTGGGTGGTGGTGTGTCGAAAATCAATCTATTACGGTAACTTGGTCGCGCTAAGATAGAAATCTTCGTGTTTTTGGCAACGAGACGTGGAATTTTTGACGACTCCTGAATTTATGCCCCTCCAGAGTAAACAACAACAAACAATTCATTAATCAACCAACTCACTCGCCATTCCTTCAATTTTAGCACAATATGGCATCCGTAATGATGTCCGATGCGCCAACACCAGACTTTGGAAATTCTTCAAGAGCTGGAACTCCCAAGGCTCGTAGACATAGGGGGTCTTCAGCATCTGGTAGACCAAGAGGTCCCCCATCCGAGAGCGCTGGTGCTATGAGTGATGATGAAGGTTTCGCAGATGATGCTATTCCACAAAATACTAACCGTCCGAGGAAGAGTGATAGGCCAATACCAAGAGTGGAGGATGCGATTGGGCAATATGTACAACTCACATTTGAAGAATTTCTTGAGTCGTGAGTTTTGCCCTTATTTTAACCATCGCACATCTAATGCCTTTACAGATATGTTGAAGATCCAATACTCTCCGGCGCAACTCCTTCATCTGCGATGACCACTGATAAATACTATATTGCGCAAATTCATGGGCTGAGAACATATCAATTGTCTACTTTATATGTCGATTATACACATCTCTCTTCATACAAAGGTGGCGCATTGGCAGAGGGTATCGTTGAAGAATACTACAGATTCCTACCATTCCTTACGAAGGCTTTACACAACATGATCGCCAAATACGAACCGAGATATTTTAGAGATCATCGTCAGCCCACTGCATCGAGTAATCAAACTTCATCTGGGGCGAGCAATGCCGCATCTGCAAGTCAATCCGATTTCCAAGGAGACAAGACCACAAATCAACAAACGGATAAATTGTTTGCATTGGCCTTTTATAACTTGCCTTTAGTTACTCGAGTACGTCATTTGAGAACTGCAAACATTGGACAACTTCTATCTATCTCTGGTACCGTTACGAGAACTTCGGAAGTCCGACCTGAACTCTCTCTAGCCACTTTCATATGCGAAAACTGCAAAAATGTTGTACCAAATGTCGAACAAACGTTCAGGTATACGGAACCTACACAATGTCCGAATTTGGAGTGTAACAATCGTCAAGCATGGAGACTAGATATCAGACAAAGTACATTTGTGGATTGGCAGAAAGTTCGTGTGCAGGAGAATAGTTCGGAAATCCCTACTGGAAGTATGCCAAGAACTATGGATGTTATTCTTCGTGGAGAAATTGTCGATCGTGCGAAGGCTGGAGAGAAATGTATTTTCACGGGTGCTCTTATTGTGGTTCCCGATGTTAGTCAACTTGGTTTACCTGGTGTTCGACCAATGGCGATTAGAGATACACAAAATCGAAGTGGAGATGCAAGCGGTGTCACTGGATTGAAAGCGCTCGGTGTAAGAGATCTTACATACAGACTTGCTTTCTTGTCATGTATGGTTACACCCGATACTTCCACCCAGGGAGCAGCAGCAAATCAACAACTCAACGGACAATCCAATAATATTCTCGCATCCCTTAATCAAACGGCTCCTATTGACCCTAACGAGCCTGGAGATCATGCCCAGGAAGCTGTTCTTGCATCCATGACACATGCCGAAATTGAGGATCTCAAAGAAATGGTTCATTCAGATCACATCTACTCGCGTCTCGTCAATTCACTCGCTCCCATGGTCTACGGACATGAAATTGTTAAGAAAGGTCTTCTCCTTCAACTTATGTCCGGTGTTTCCAAAGTTACCCCGGAAGGAATGCAACTTAGGGGTGATATCAATATTTGCATAGTTGGTGATCCCTCCACCTCGAAATCTCAATTCCTCAAATATATTTGCTCTTTTCTTCCTCGAGCTGTCTATACATCTGGAAAGGCCTCCTCGGCTGCGGGTCTCACAGCTGCTGTAGTCAAAGACGAGGAGACAGGAGAATTCACTATTGAAGCTGGAGCACTGATGTTAGCAGATAATGGTATTTGTGCTATTGATGAGTTCGATAAAATGGATATCAGTGATCAAGTCGCCATTCATGAAGCTATGGAACAACAGACCATTTCCATTGCCAAAGCAGGTATCCAAGCCACGTTGAATGCTCGAACCTCGATCCTCGCAGCTGCAAATCCAGTAGGAGGAAGGTACAACCGAAAGACGACATTGAGAGCTAATATTAACATGAGCGCTCCTATTATGTCGCGTTTCGATTTGTTCTTTGTGATTCTGGATGAATGCAACGAAACTGTGGATCGCCATTTAGCAGAACATATTGTAGGGATCCATCAACTTCGTGACGAAGCAGTGCAACCCGAATTCACGACCGAGCAACTCCAGCGCTACATCCGTTTCGCCAAAACCTTTAAGCCAGAGTTCACGGATGAAGCTAAAGAATTACTGGTACAAAAATACAAAGAACTGAGGAATGATGATGCTCAAGGAGGCGTTGGTAGAAACAGTTATCGCATTACAGTCAGACAATTGGAGAGTATGATTCGATTAAGTGAGGCTATTGCAAAGGCAAATTGTGTTGAGGAAATCACCGAGCCGATGGTTGTTGAAGCCTTTAATCTTTTGAGACAGAGCATCATCAGTGTTGAGAAGGATGATGTTGAGGTTGATGACGATGATGAGGAAGTACCAGCTCCAGCTGCGAATGATGATGCAGATGACGCCATGGATGAAGATACCCAGGACGTCAATGGAAGTGTACCGCCAGCTGAAGGAGATGGAAGACAAAAGACAAAGATTACTTATGACAAATACATTGGAGTGGTCAACCTATTGGTTAGGAGGATCAATGAAGATGAGTTGGGTAGCGGTGAAGGGGTGGAGGGAGAGAAGTTGGTAGAGTGGTATTTGGAGCAGATCGAAGGTGATCTAGCTGATGAAGAGGCATATCATGAAGAAATGAAATTGTGCAAAAAGATTATCAAGAGGATGCTTAAGGTTCGTTACTATTTTTATTCATTTTCTACTCCTCTTCGTGGCTTCAGCTCGTTGTACATGGAAGGCTCTGTGGATTTCGGACTAACATTCGATTCTACAGGAAATATTTTGATGGCAATTCGTGGGCAAGGATTGGTTGATCAGGATAACACGAATGGGGAGGGTAGTTCGAGGTCAGAGGAATCAGTTGTTTATGTATTACATCCTAATTGTGCGGTGGAAGAATTTTAACTTTCGACTCTGGGTTTAAGGAGCATATCATAGTATGTGATGATGCATATATGAAGGCGTTAGGAAGAATACCTCAAGGTGACAATAGTTTATCAACAAATGAATTGTAACATTCAGAAAAGATTACACGCGGTAATAATGTACCCGTTTTTGTATCAATGATTATCCATTCTATTTTCTATTCGTATCCTCGTGCCATGGCATGTGCAATGTTTGCCCTTTTCTAATCCATCAATACGCTATTCTGTGGTGATTCAATGCACACCACAAGACCTACCATGCAACTATCCATTCATCCGTAAACCCCCCTTGCAACTTCGATCAATTGGTTAGATACTTCCTCAGAAAAAATTGCGACTCCCAACTCCTGGCTAGTCACCCAACTCGCCCGATCCATATTGCCACTCCCAAGAATGGTTATTTCATTGTCAATTATCGTCATTTTGAGATGAAGTTTGACTGGCTTGCTCTCCTTTCCCATGCTCTCAAATCCTCTCGCCAGTGTTCCATCAGTCATCGTATTCCGGTTATGGGAATCACTCATACGAACGAGAGCGGGATTGAAATACACAACTTCTAAAGCTCCTATTCTAGAATTACCGGCTTCAATGTCATCGACCCTCCGTGATGAGCGAGATACAAGCTTACGATATCGACGTTTCATCTTCCATACCTCCCATTCAGTAATCGTGCCGGCTGTTACTAATTGCTCTAGGATCATCAGCTTTCTCGAGACCACAATGCGGACATCAACACCTTTATCTAATGCTTCGAATATTGAATTTATGACTGGTGTGTATGTAATATTTGGAGTGTAGATTGTTATTGATGTTTTTGCTGCTGAAATTTGTGATAGCAAGAATTTATTGAGTGGTGTTGAGGGTGTTTTTGCATTTGGTCTAAAAATAACAGAGAATGGATTATACGCAGAGTGAGTATGTGGAAGAGAAGTGTTTCGGTATTTTGCGGAAGGTTTGATAAGTCACGACACTTTAACAGTGATGAATCTGGATTCCATAGCTCGGCATGTATCGATGGACTTCTCTCTGCTAGCTGAGTCGACGTCCACGACATTTCGGGAATTGTCATTTGGCCATCGCCGTTCCAGATCCTGCTCCAATAACTCCGCAGATCTTCTACCAGTTCCCCGCGTTCAAATCCAATACATCCTTCTCCCCATGGTTCCCAACTCACATTACAACTTGGAAACCAAATGCGTCGAGTATCTTGTATGATATATTTCCCATGCAAAACATGACATGGACGGAAAAATATCGACTTGACACGTAGATCTAACCCCGGTATATCCGACTCAGATGGAAGTCCAAGTGAAGGATACTGAGATGATGGGTACAAATATCCGTCGGGGGAAGGGGTGTGAAATATCTTTTGCGATATTGAAAGAGATGAAAAACAAATCCGGATATGGATAGTTTTTTGATCTGCTACCGCACGTTCCGATAGTCTCAGGAGAAGTTGACAAATCTCGTGCTGGCTAGAGGAAGAAGCCCAAAAGCAGGTCACGAGAATGAGTTCGTGGTTTGTGGAAAGGAGTTGTGGGAGGAGAGAAGACCATATTGAAGTACCGGTGCCAAGTAGGAAGGTGGTGGGATGTGTTGTGCTATGAACATAGCTAGGGAGCTGGGTGGTCATGTGCCTGAGATGATTAAAAATCAATAGTAGGTAATGGCAAAGAGTTGAGGGGTGATAAGATTAAGAATTGAATGATGAATTATTGATAAAAATGAATTTAGGAATTCAAGCTCGTGTGATTGTTGATGTTCAGAGGATACATATGTGATTAAGAGTAATAGATCACGTGATAAATTACCTTGTAAATTACCTTTTGGTCGGTCATTCATTTTACTCAACTTGGCACCCATGAATTTTATCACATCACTCAAATTCTGGAAGATCACAGCAGCCAAACCATTTATTCTGGATCTTTACATGTTTCCATCAATCCAATTCTGACTGAGTAAATCTGCTCTTGCAAATGAAGGCCCAATGGATTCTCATTTCGATACAATTTATCGTTTTAATGTTCGCGCTAAGGTTACCTTCTTCTTTGAAGTTGCTCTCCTTCCTCCTTCCTCGTTCACGATAGGAACTGTGAATATCTTCTTCAACGCCGCTTCCTTTCATTGATAAGATCTTTTCAGCAAAACTCCCATCTTATATCAAGTGATATATGGCACTGGTCTGAGAAGTATAGCGACTTTCACGCCCTCAACAGCTGCATCTGTGCTACGTCAAATAAATGTCTTGTGGGAATTTAATCTGGTTTAAAATGAAAGACATATAGGCCTGGAAAGTTTTCTAGTCTTGTACACCAAAGCCTTATTGTCATCATTTCTCGGGATTCTTATTTTCTTAAATTTTAGATCTGGCGGATGGAAAATAACTTTCCTTGAAGTTGAATGACTTCTTTGGAAGGCATCACCATCATACCATCACTCTACGATTGATTTAAAACAATATTTCAATGATGTAAAGTAATGAAAGATCTATAATATATTAATATACAAATTCTTAATGTCGTCAAACCCCCACTGTATTCAATTCAAATAGAAGATCGCACCAACAGCATTCCAATCAGAAAGGAACTAAAATATTGTTTACGTGAAATCATACGAGAAACTGACCTTTTCAAATTCACACTGCTATTTCCTATCTCTGAATAAATACAACATATAAAATCTCTCGTATTGTTCGATATGGATTGATCGCATTAGTTATTGGATTCAAACAAAGACTTATGATATAGAGCAAAGTCCCATCTATCTTTTGCGTCATCCCGCGCAACTATGCTTTGTCTCCACAGGTGTTCAGATTGACTCAACCTTTCCTCTGCTTCGCCTTCCTCCTCCCTCAGAAAGCTGAGATTATACGTGTCATCAACGGAAAGAATATTGTAGTAAACACTTTCCAATGCCTGTCCTAATACCTGCTTTCTTTGCTGAGTATAATATAGACTTCGCGCGCCTACCCACTCTTTCTGTCGATATAACCTATGATTGAGCTCTTGGGTGGGATCAGAAGGTAACTTATTGTATTCCTCAAGGCTTTTTATATGATCGGACTCGCGATCCATTACCTCCAACCTCTTCACGTACAGCGATTGTTCATAGCGCTTGTATTTTCGCTTATCGGTTCCTTTCCCTCGCCTAAGTTAACAGCCATGCGACTATTATGTGCGTCCCACTCAAGATCACTTATCTTCGACGCATTTTCTTTCATGCTGTACTCACTGCCTTCCACTTTGAATCTGGCATTCGAAAGATCTTGTTGATTGCGCAACACACTCTCGTACAACTCTGCAGTTCTTTTTTGAGTTTGATTGAAAGCCGCCTCTAATCCACTTATTTCCTCATCTGTAGGAGGAGGCTGCGCAAGAAGCTCTTCCTGCACTCGTGGGCGTTGAGGAGGAGCGATCGCTTGTAACCATTCTGGCCATGGGCCATCATTCTCTACTGATATATCAGGCAATGGACCACGGCATTCATCTCTGCAGATGGCGCATCCCTTGAACTCGACCATCAGTGCAAGACAATCTTTGTGGTACGTGTGGTTACACTTCAATTTTAAACACACTCTGCTATTCAACGATTCCAGGCATATCATGCATCTATCAGTTGAAGGATTAACGCAAACTTCTGCAATGAGCGGGGCGTCCGCACCCATCGCTTGTCTCCATTTTCCTTCCTCTTTCTTCTCCTTGTAAATACTCTCTGCAGAGTTAAATGCAAGATCTCGAAGTATAGCCTGCCTTAACTGCAATATTATAATTCTATGCTCTCGGGGAATTTCCTGTGCACGACCAGCTCTAACAGTGAGCCAAAGATGAGGTAAAAGTTGTTGGAAAACGAGGAGATGAAGATGATTATAAACGTCGAGGTTGAGTCGCTTGTTGGAACAAAAGATATCAAGATCATATCTGACATCTGGCTCAATATTCATATTTACAAAGGTACGCGCTCGATTCAACGCAGCATTGGCTTTCTCCGGTAAGTTGGAGTCTTCGAAATGAAGTCGATCAAACTCATACTCTTTGCCGAATCTTTTAACCGCAACTTAATTGGGAAGGGATGCCGTGGGATCTTCCAACATGAAACATTCGGGGCAGAAGTCGACGACAGAAAATCCCTGAGTGAGTATCCTTTCGCAAATTCCAAGAGGCTTGCATGATTGTATAATCCAGGAGTATGGCGTCTGATCACACAAAAGGTAATGGCACATCGTTCGTAAGCACATGTTTCAATAAAGGATAAAACTCCGCAAATATTTGAAATGGAAGTCGGTTTTCAACTCTCAACGGGTAATATGAAATCGTACGAAATCGTTGAAAAAATAGAGTTGTCGAACAGTCACTGAGAACATTGATATGACAGGCTATCTCACTCCTTTGTCTTGCAATGTTAGCAGTAACATCAATCAATCATTGACCAAAATAAAGGATTTCACGTTCAGGAAAAAGATATTCGCTAGTCCGTCCCTCTTTGTTTTGCTCAACAGTTGAGAACAAACAGAGTGACAATTTCATCGAAATACTCTTTCATTGAGTTCCGCTATATATCAAAACGAGAATAATAAGCTGATAACTAACATCAAGCAGGATCATGAATCTTTATATCTCAGTATAAAGAATTTGACGTGAAAGTATTGCTCTGGGTGACAATGACTAAGTAAAAAGAAACTGAGGAATCTAGTTCAAGGTTATATTCAAATCAATTCATCGAATAATACTGCTTATATTATTCTTTTAAGCCGACTCATCTTGTTGTCCTCAGTGGTCCGGACTCCAGTCAACTTCAACTCTCAACCTTTGAGGTTCCGACAATAGGATTATCAATCTCATGAATCATTTCAATGTCTAATAGAATTTGAGGATCCCAGAGGCTTTCAAATGATGAACTGTAATCTGAACTATTGGATATCCTGAGTTATCTTGCTATGAGACTTCTAATGATTCTCTTATAATCATCTACACCTTTAGCAAGCCCATCAGCAGTTATACATTCATGATCCGAATGTGCCGAAATTACAGATCCAGGTCCGATTAAATAACGCTTATGATTTCCTTTCAGGTTTGGAACATCAGTTCCTCCTCGCTTTACATCCGTCTCGAAACCTAAAATTGAGTATCTCAGCACCGTCCATGTCTTGGGAAGCTTTTGTAACAAACCATCTATATCAACGTCACAGTCCACAGGACCGAAATGACGACCAAGCTTCACCTCCACACTCCCCTCATCGATATCGAGACTCGCGATGATAGATTCGATCCTTTTCATAGCTTGTTCCGGTGTCCCGGCTGCCAATCTTGTCAAGACGGAAGCTGATGCTGTTGCCGGAATGACGTTCAATGCCACACCGCCTTGTATCATCCCAATACTTGTGGTCGTTTCACCCAACTTAACACTCCCAGGTAGTCTCATGCTATCAATCTCCGCTAGTGCCTTTATCAGAATACTAATTGCGTTTATTCCCAATTCTGGATAGGAGCTATGGGCATCTTTCCCATGAGCAATTATCTCAAACGCTAGCGCACCTTTGTGTCCAAGAACGAGTTTGTGCTCCGATGGTTCCCCGAAAATGACACCCTCCCATGTAATGCCATCTTGCTGGAATATCTCACTGGCTCTTCTCATACCAGCACCGTCTGTTTCCTCCCCGACCACAAACAGTAATGCGATATCACCCTCATGAATTAAATCCTCAGCTATCAATTCTTCAACGGCCATAATTTGAGAAGCAATACATCCCTTGGCGTCGGTACTTCCTCGACCACAAATTTTATTCTCGTCTCCATCTGAGGAACGTGAATATGGAATGTATGGTCCGACCGTATCCATATGACTTGTGATTAGAAGTCTAGTATTTCGTGTTGTCCCTTTATATGCGAAGATATTGAGTCGTGATTTGTCATACACGTTCTGGACATTGGATGCTGACTGGGTGGGAGAGACATGTTGAGTTTCAACTGTAAAATTGCGGGATGAAAGATAAGAATCCAAATATTGACCAATATCATACTCATTGCCAGTAATGGATTTGATAGAAATGAGATTTTTGTGAAGCTCAATGAGGTTTGATTCAACTTCGGTGAGGCGGGAATTTTCTGCGTTCGGATTCATGGGTATTTGAGAAGGACTAATTAATGAAGAGCTCTTCACATACGAAATGAGATGTAAACTTCCCAGAAGGAAAGGAATTATTGAATTAATCATCATGAATGTTGATTTGTTGATGGTAGCAATACTTCTCAAAATTATGATCTAGGAACGTTGTCGTCAAATTCCTTTTCGTGTTACTCTTGCTGTGTACTCCGTAATTAATCAGCAATTAACCTATCAGCCAACAGCTTTGGATTGAAGGTTAAAATTCTCGATATTTTAAGAACGCTGTCGTCACGTCATTGCCTCAATAAAAACGATGGCGGCATCTTTATTTTCTATGGTCACACAACTCGTGAGGTAATTTAGGTCAAGACTTTCAAATAAGGTATATGATTATGCTTCAAATTTCGAGTTCATTTCTAGAAGATTATGAGAACTGCCATAGCTTTTGCTAAGGCCCTTTCCTAGCCATAAAAATCACGCATCTCTCACACCAAAGATATCTCTCCTTCGAAAAACCCATTGTCAACATGGCAGATCACAATTAATATCAATCCCCGAAAATTTCTCTTCCGCGCTCAGAATTCTTCCAGAGAAATTCCCATCTCCCTCCCCAAGCTGTTGAAAACTTGCTTTGCAGCTCTAAAAGTTAAAATACTTTCTCGGTATCGGTAGGCAGAAATAACCTCATCGCTCAATCCATAAGAGTTGTTCTTTCGCAAAAAATCGTCAGATACCTGCAGTGTATTTTCAAAATAAGGTGTCGTCATTACTGGGTGCTTTGGCTTCGCAGAAGGTCACTGCCGATAGCAATCGTCATACATTTTACGGCCTTTTCTGCTACTTGGGAGACACTCTCGTACTAGCTTTCGACTTGCTTCGCGGTTTGCATCTCCTCCAAAGTTGGTTTATTGAGAATCTCAGAACCACTTTCTTTGGCGATAATCCAAGGAGCATATTTCAAAGTCTCGCCATATAGGTTGAGGACCTTGTTGTTCATGCAGGCCTTACACATACATGTAAATCCATATTTAGATAATAAGATCTTTCGGCGAGCGACGGTGGTTCCAAAAGGTTCTTTATAGAATGTAGTCAATTCTTCACCCCGCTTGATGTCCCGTACAGCACTAAAGACCAATTCTCCATTCTTGGTGTTTCCTCGAGCCATGTTAGGGAGACACTCGTGGTTAATGCGTGATGCAAAGTGGTAAATGTGGTTTGTGCGTTCCGGTTTGTCGTTGATGATATCGAAGCTATTGACATCGTAAATCTTCATGAGTGTTGTTTCTCGGCATGGGTTCTCGTTGCAGCTACAATGACTATGAAGAGACTTCAAAACATTCTTCTTCTCCTCATTGAGGGACATGAAAAAGGCCTCTTTTAGGAGCCAGTTCAGACCACATTTCATCAAAGGAGCTTCCCTCAAAACCTCTGTTTCTTTTTTGATGTCTTGTGCGGCGAAAACCCCAAGACCTTTTCCGGGGCTTGCCTTGATTTCGAACATGGCGTTTGAAAAGTATACTGAATCAATGTCAGTATTTGCTGTGTGAGCAGAAAAAAAAGGCATCTATTACTTTCGGTCTTTTCCTGTGCCAGAGCGGAGCTTCCAACAACACAATCAATGCTACTGCTGCCATCGAAGCAATCACTTGTAAGAGATTTTGAGACCTTTCCACTTCCAACTGATGATGGAATTTTAGTCTCTTGACTCGCACTTCCCAACATTTCTCGTTCTTCGAATTCTTGTCGGGCTTTCTCAGCCTTGTTCTTCCTAGCATTCAATTTCTTTCGTCGATTACGTTCAGCTTTACGCTTCTCAGCCGATTGATCTGCTGCATCATTGAGTTCCAAAGTTGCTATTTCAGACAGCTAGAAGTATACCATAGTTAAATAAAGTTTGCACACTCAAGTAGAAGGAATATCCTTACAATAACACTCTGATCAACCTGGACCTGGGGATCATCCGCCCGGTGTGGACGTCTACTTTGCCTGAAGTCATGATTTCTTGTGGATCTATAGAAGAAAAGAGAGGCTGTTTGAATTTATTTTTTGAATTAATGTTAAAGTCTTTGGGTCAATCTTGAAAGCGATTGGATTGTAAAAGAATCGGAAGAGCTTGAGGATCTCGGTTGTACAACTTGTACCTCAAGATTTGTGATCGTGATCAATAGGAGTGGATCTCGTTGGTTATATTCACTACAGGTTATGTGTAAAGGTGAAGTCAAATTCAAAGCATTATTACATAGTGTTTCAATTAAATAAAACCCCTCTTGTTTCAACTAGACAATGGAAGATTGGCCTACATCCAGAGATTCTTATTCTCCTCTGCAAACTCGTCAAAGTTTTTAGGTTTGTGGCCTCCAATCTTTTCTACCACATCATTTCGTCTCACTTCCCCACCATTTGCAGTCATAACTTCCAATGAAGTCAAATAACATGCAAGACCTTCAGGCAACCCCATACTAACATAGATTTGTATTCTCTCTTCACTTGTTACTTTGACGTGGGTAATTGTTCGTCCTAGAATTTTGCTCAACTTTGCAGCAATCTACAATTGATAAGCCAACGTTTTATTGGGCTGGAGGATAACATAGTTACTTCATCATAATTGAGCAATTCAGGGCCAAGAACTCTGTAGTCGTGATCTGGGGGTTTCTTGCTGGTGAGTGCAACCATTGCTACTCTGGCAATGTCACTCACTGATACCAATGGAGCTTGGCCATCGCTCATTGCGGAAACGAATTTATTTTCTTCTTTAATACTCTGAACATATGGGCAGATGATGAAATTGTCTTTAAGGTGATTAACAACACTAGATCATAGTACTACACGATGGATCACGTACCCATGAACCAACTGGCCTTCAAAACTGAGTATTCCACGCCAATATCATCCAAGTGCTGCCAAACACCTCCAGTATAATCTCCTTCTTTCTCCGTATCGCTACCACTTAATAAGACAAATCTATTAACACCATTCTTAATTGCGACGTCAATAAAGGCATTCATGACAGGCACTGGGTCTGGAACTTCTGGAGCCACTAGATACACGGCTTTGATGACTTCATCGTGTGGAAAGGGATGAGTAAAGATAGCCTGATAAGTTGATGGATCTGTATAATCAAAGTTGATGGCTTGCATTCCATCAGGAGCAGTCAATTTTGCTTTTCGAGAAGCGAGAAGGAAAGGGATGGAGGCGGACTGAAGACGGTGGGCCAATTGAAGAGATGTTTTGCCTGTACCGCCGGTGACGAGAATTGCCATAATGAAGATGAGAAAGGATTGCTGTAACTATAATAAGATAAATTTGAAACGAAATAATTAGGGGAACTGTAATGAAAGACATGTAACAGAGAAAGGTAGCTTAATTTATATAAATGGATAAGGTCAACTTAAAACAGTGATACTTCACCATACATCATCTGGAGGGTAACAACTATGGACCATGACGTGTAAAAGTGCTGGTTCTTCCCAAAAGATAAAGATGATTCCGGATCTAGAATGAGACATGTCATTTGAAACTATTAATCCAAGACTTTTGAGGGACTTCATACTTCAAAGAAGCATCTGAAAAAATGAAGAGTGATGCGGGGAAATGCGGGGAGATACAAAAACTACAGCTTGGCCTTACAAATCAAGGGCGATGGCAACACCAAAATGTTGTGTGGAAACAAAGCCAAAGCAGTCGCGTCATCAAATACTCTACTATTGAATATGACTTAACACAGTCAAGAATCCAACAGTTCTCAAGTATTGAATTCTATGCATAAGTTCTTAGATCGATCATTTGTTTACTGTTCAATTTCAATATAAAGCCAACTTAAACTTACAATACGTCATACCTAGGTAGTTGGACTTCATTGCCCCCTCTGTCCAAGGGCAATGTTGTATCACAATCATGTACTCCGCCTCCAGACTATTATCGAAATCTAAGTCCACTAGAACCCCCAAAGCATGATACTTGACTTATTTACTATACGTAAAATAGCACCCAGGAAGAAATTGAACATTCACAGGATATTTCACAGTTCACAGGCACAATTCTCAGCATCCGGCAAAGTAATCACCACAACGATGCCACCACGTTCCTCCAAATCTATCGACGATGTCCTGCCTTCTCCCGGCCAATTCACCCGTCCTCCTCCATCTCAATATTACACCTATCGCATTCGACGAGGAGAACAAGGAGTCCTAACGTATGAGCCTTACAAATCCTATCTCCTACCTCTTTGGCGATTCCGAACTCCCTCGATTGCAGAAAAGTCCTCGAACGCCTTGTATGGAGAATTTCTACGTTTTTACAAAGAAGATGATTTTGTAGGTATGGATATGAGTAGAAAATTTATACAAATGGGTATGACGCGATCGAAACGCTATGCGAATCATAAAGGGGGACGAAAGTACGATATTGGAAAGGATGGGGAAAAAGTGGAAATAGAAAAGAGTCAAGGGCATGAAGAACAGGAAGACAAACTGATTGCTAGTGGCATATTCAAAGAAAAGTGGGAAAGGTGCCGGGGGCATGAAGGGTACAAAGCTTTGAAGGAAAAGTTTCAAAGGGAATTGAAAGACTGGATAAGTGTCCACGGAGAGAAAACATGGAATGTTGAAGAGGGTTTGGAAGTAAAAGAGCGGGAACAAAGCGAAGAAGCAAAATATATAAAACAAGAGGGCGAAGAGATAGGGAACCTGAAGAGGTGTAGACAACGAAAGAGGCCACGGAGTGAAATAAAAGAGGAGCGAAAGGTTAAGAAGGAGGATAGTGTAGAGGAAACCTCGAGCAACCCAAGAACGAAGCGAAAACGAATCGATCTTTGATCTGGCGCTATATGTACACCTTTCGATTTGATTGTAAATCTTAAAACATATTCCCATTCGATCTTTGAGGTGCAGAGCAGCCTTTCAAGCCTTTCCAATGTACTCCAGCAATGAAACTTTTGACGACTTGATGTTTTTTTGTCAATCCTCGCTCAATACAAATTTGTGTGTCTGGTATGATACTGGATCCAACACAGAGCAACTATCGATGCATCCTTTGTCAACGCCATAGAACTCCCCTGTATCCCATTATAAAGAATGTAGAGATTCGTTTATTAATTTGACTTTTCATCCTCCTTGCTAATCTCGTCCTCGCAGCTGTGGATCTATGGGCAGAAGACAAGTTAGCACAATTCATTCGACATAATTCCCGAGCACAATTTGATCATTCCTCATCTCCTGCGATTCCACTACCAAAATAATCGAAAGAGAAAAACATACCACACTCGCCCATGCCATCCACTCTTCCATTCCTCTGACGACCATATCACCACTCGCATCAACCAAACACTCATGCCCCCATACTGTCAAGTCATCAAAAGCACCTTCTTCATCAACTATTTTTGTTTCGATTTCCTTTTCTGCCACTTCATCCTCATCCTCCTCGTCTTCTTGTCTCTCATCCTCAGCAGTCGATTCTCGTGGCATAATTTCTTCGCCCACTCTCAAAACAACCCCCCTCCATCCTTCCGGAACCTTAACCTTCCTTCCAATCAATCTTCTACCTCTGAAATATGACACCAATTCTTCCTTTCCCCTTTGATTCTTTGTAATTTTTGGATCCCAATATCTCTTTTCGATCTTAATTGGGGCCGTGTGATTTATGCGACATGGGATGAGATTCGGTGTGTATTTTTTCGAGGGTTTCGATGAAGATTGACTAGATGGTGGACGTATCGCGAGCATGATGTTTAGGGTTCCTTTATCTTTTGCAATCTGTGTGCGAGGATAATTTCTTGTGATTGAATTGTGCAAAGTCGGGCTGAATGAATTGAGTTGATGTATATTTGCAGTCCAGAATTAAAGTTTTTGGTAATCTGTATGAGTGTGACCGTGAGAGACGCGACTTTGACGCGTGTGCGATAAAGTACTTGCGCTTGGATCTCAGACTGCCTCACCCCACTTAAGCTAACATCATGTTACAGATCGAGCTACCGAGTGGTTCAGTAGTATTCGTCTGAATTGGATCCAGATTTGAACGAAGCTTGGCTTTCTGTTTGATATTTGTAGGAAGGTTGGAAGGGCGAGTATTGTAAAATACATCTAAATGTGTTTGCACTTTAGGTTTTTGAAGTTAATACAAGCCAAAAAATAATAATTCACTATTTGTTCAAATCGTTTAAAGTGGTGCCCGAATCTCTAATTATAGCAAGATTTTAGTAAAAGTGGGGCTTATAGGACTTCCAACCTTCGTAGTCTACAATGCTTTCCAGTATACATACAGAGTGAGATCTCAAGGGAAAGAGAGACAAAAAATACAAAACTTCAGGTCGAAACTCTAATGTTACAACTCTCCTTCAAACTCGTCTAACAGGGCACCCCTCGGTAACAAACGCCCAAACACAGACGAAGGCAACCGGCTCACCAATACTGCCAAACTACTTTTCAGTCATTTGAATTGATGGAGGTTAGCGAAGTGTTTGAAAATATACACTCTGGTTTCTGTTATCTTCTCCATACTCTGATTCTTAGCATTCCTTTCGAACAGAAGGAAATTTCCTGCTAGGTAGTAATCAAATCGATCACCCGGATCCATGCCACCATCTCCCTTACATTCTTCTTTCGGGTTACTAGATCCGTTTTGAATATTGCGATGTTTAATTTTCAGTACCCAATACAAATGAGATTACACGATATTTATATCCACGAGTATGTAAGTGCTACATATATATTATCGTTTCTTTCCTTCTCTCTCATAAATTCCACTCATCTCTGTGGTTCAAATCATCCTCTAGTAACGGGGTAGGTACCTAGGTATGGGTAAAGACCATGATACACTCCACCCTTTTCACATGCAACATGCAACATGCAACATTATCTTACCAATACAAACCTTCTACGCCTTCTACGCCTTCTACTAATTTGTTTAAGGTATATCCTCCGTACAACAACAGAATCCCTCCTGTCTTCTTCCCTACCAAAAGACAAAGACTTCCCTTTCCTGGCCAATTGAATATAATCCGATCCGCATAGAGTGGCTCGGGACGTTCTCAATCGGAATTTACCCCTGGCATATTACATAATCACCTACATATTCTTTCAAATGCCATATTCCCAAGGTTACGCTTCCCATTTCCCATGCCTTCCACTCTTGACACTCTTACACTCGATCCGGACTTTTTTTTTGGAAGAGTGGAAAAGATGTATTCAAATCGTTTCACGCCGGGAATGTACGGACTCCGAAGATACCGTTCGATAAGTTTCATTGGGAGATATCCTTTGGGAAAGATATACCTTGTTACATATACCATCGAACAATTGATTCAAGATACGGGAAAGGATCAATTGATGATGTCAAGACTTTGATCTCATAATCAGATGGATAGTAGGTGCACCACTCACATGCATTTACTACATCTCTCTCTTTTCATGCTAGCTACTTTTCGCTTTGTCTCCCTGCGCTGAGCCTTATACGAACACGTTATTTATTGCACGCAGGATACAAGTTCATAGCTATAGCCATAGCCATACGTGCTTGGGGTTAGCTACTTACCAGGTAGAAGTACAAGTACAAGCAGGTATGGTATGTGCAAAAACAAAAGAAAAGGTCTAAACTCCTACCTACATAGCTACCTCGGCAGAATAACTCTGTTGGAAATCCTTGTGTGTACCTAGTATATCCATACATATATACATCCTGCATGCTTTGAGAAGAGAGGTATCGACTATCCATGTGTTCAAGTATCCTAGATACATGCGAAGCAGTACGAGTTTATATTTACATTTTTACTATTCAACCTGTTGTCCTTCCAACTTCCTTCATGGGGTTTTTTTTTTAAATAAAATAAAAGCTTGATCAATTGATGTCTGTGTTCAAAGCCCAAGCACATCCTAATATCGATACATTCCACACAGATCTCCCGACAAGATACACTAATAGCGGGGCTCCCCATCTGCATGAACTATTTTCACCCCTCTCTAAACCATATTCTTACTAGCCCTTGTTTCCTTTCCATGTACTCAAGCATTGAATGTTTGGCGGTCTTCGGGAAACATCGTCATCCGGGTCTTTCATGCTTCGCTCTCTCTTTTTTTTTCGTTTTGATCTAGATTCACAATGTGAGTATTGCCTCTTTCTTTATATCTATCTCCTCAACTTTGTATTGTGTTGTCTTATGCTGATACTGCAACAGTGACAGAAAGATAGATACCAATTCCTCTGTTTCCTTCTCACTCCTTCTTGAAAGCAATCCCAATCAAACCAGTGGTTGTGCACAGCTCAAGCTCAACATCTAGCGTGGTGATTGATAGCTTAGTCTCCACAGCAGAAAAGGTTCCCACTCACGGCACTACCCATCTAATACCTCGACCGAGTACATAGTTTTCTCTCTCTTCACCTTACTGTCCCTTCAATTGATATTTTCATACCTTCCCCTCTACACGCGCAGGTCGTTAATACAATAATTTCCGAAGTTTGTCATTTGAGTATTCCCAAACAAGCTTCCCTATCACCATAATGGCTTCCTACCTCCCCGACGCCATCACCGCGCCCATAACGAGGAGTACCGACTATCTCAAGAGTACAATCGGTGGTTTGACTTGGGGCCCAGCTCTCTCTGTCTCAAAAGCTGCTGTAACTTCATTGTTTGGACGAATTGAGCGTGGAACACTACTCGTTACCGATGCCGAAACTGGAAAAACAATATGTTATGGAGCGAAGATTGCAAAGGAACACAAGGCCAATGGAGTGAATGGCGTGAACGGACATCATAACTCGCGCAAAGCTGGTGCAGCAAGAAAGATAGAATTGAGAGTTATCAATCAAGCATTTTGGGTGCGCCTCTTTCTGTTTGCCGATATGGGTTTCGCGGAGGCATATATGTTGGGAGAAGTCGAATGTGATGACTTGACTGGATTCTTCGAGGTATTTTAAGCTTCCCCCATGCCACGCGATTTCACAATTTCATACTAAAAGCCATTTCTAGCTTTTTATCCAGAATCGGAATCAGCTGGCAAATGCTACAACTCTCACCTCCTCTATCGCCGCCACTATTACAGGACTCGCCAGGAGTACCAACACTTTGTCCAATTCTCTCCTCAACGTCTCCGCGCATTACGATATCTCTAACGAGATGTTCGCTGCATTCCTTTCCGAAGACATGACATATTCATGCCCGATATGGAACCCTATTTCTAGCGCCTCATCCGAATTGAAGGAGGAAACACTTGAAGAAGCTCAGAGAACAAAACTCGATCGATTCATAGATGGGGCAAAAATCAAACCCTCCGATCATGTATTAGAGATTGGTACTGGATGGGGTTCATTTGCCATTCAAGCTGTTAAACGAACAGGATGTCGTGTAACAAGTTTGACCTTGTCCGTTGAACAAAAGGCCTTGGCCGAAAAGCGCATTTTCGCAGCCGGTTTCGCGGATAGAATTGAAGTGAAACTTATGGACTATCGAGCACTACCCATCCCAAAACAACCTTACGATAAGATAATTTCCATTGAGATGCTCGAAGCTGTTGGCGCAGAATATCTGGAAACGTATTTCTCCTGCATCCATCGATTACTGAAACCAGATGGAATTGCCGTGTTCCAATGCATTACTATGCCAGAGGGTCGATATGAGGCATATGCAAAGGGGGAGGATTTTATCCGAAAATATATCTTCCCGGGTGGCCATCTTCCTTCTATTACACAATTAATTGATAATATCACCAAAGCCTCAGAAGGAACATTGGTTGTTGAAAAGGTGGAGAATATCGGAGGTCATTATGCGAAAACGTTGCGATTATGGAAAGAAAAGTTCTTGGCAAATTTCGAGTCAAGGATTAGACCTGCCTTAATGGCGGAGCACAAGGAAATGGGTGAGAGAGAGGTAGAAGTATTCAGAAAGAAGTGGGAGGTACGTAGTTCCACATGCATCTCACAAAGTTATCCCAATATCGCATGCGCTAACATGCTCACACAGTACTATTTCACATATTGCGAAGCAGGATTTGCAACAAAAACCCTTGGAGATGCAATAATCACAGTGGGCAGAGAAGGAGCATTGGAATTGATGGACGGTATTCCCTTATAATCTCGAGATCTCGGTTCATATTGAGGGTAATTTTCTTGGAGTACTTGGAGTCGATGGATGGGAGAGGTAATGAATTTCTCTTTTCTCTAATTTTCAAAAGTCATAGAAGAATTGGCACTGCATTAGAGTGGCAGTGTGTTAGACCATAGACTTGACTTTTTTGTCATGGATAACCCATAGTATATTATTAGTGGTGGCTGGCTTTTCTTGTCCTTGCTAATGAAATAGTGCCTAGCTGGAATGTAATTGTTTTATTGATGCTCGTGAAAGTGTCTTTGGATTTTGAAACCATAGCTCGAGTTGATGCGTATCTTTCTTAACGCCAGCCAAACTCCCAACTCCATTGAATGCCAACATTTGCTTGAAAAATATTCTTTTCAACCTTTTTACAATAAAGTGGAGTCCCTACACCATCACCATTCAAATCGTGGTGACCCTAAAAATCTTCAACGCTTCCCTTTCTTCTTCTTCTTATTTGGCTTGGACTTCGAAGACACACCGGAGTGCGGAGGATGATGCTTTGCATGTTCAATATCGAAAGCCGATTTGTGTTTCCTAAACAGAAGTATAGTTGCTCTTGCATCCTCAATACTAGAATGTTCACCACCTTGTATATCCACACCCAGAATCTCTTTTGACAACTTTTTCAAACTCGGTGTCCTGCCATTACTGTACTTTCTGAAGCCTGAAAATTTCGACGTATCTCGTATGTCTCTCTTTGGATGGCTCAGTATCATGGCTTCCAAATCATTCTTTATCGCATGTCCTACCAATATCCTCCCCTTCAAAATCTCGGCCACATCTCTCTGCACCTCATCAAATTCCCTGGCCGTCGCCATATTTTTCGTCGATACACCAGAAACATGGGTTCTCCAATCCGTAACAAACTCTTTGGGTCGCACAAAAGAATCGTATATCTGCGTGCCATGGAAATTGACAATACTAACTCGAGCCAATACCGATCTATCTTCGGAACCCCCCACACCTACCATTTCACAATCAATTCCAATGTATTTCCCTATGTCGACGTCTTCTGAAAGTCCGCCATTGATTTTGTCGGCTCGAGCACCTTGAATGGTGGTATCTTTCAAACTTCCTCCATAAGCTTCCGCAAGATCTTTCGCCGATATATCATTGTCTTCCGCCCAAAGGGCCAAAGAAGCAGACGGTGCATTCTTTGGGAGTGGTGTATCATCTTCTGTTGAATCTAAAGCTGGTGAACTTCCCATTGCTCCCATCTTTCCCTTCCTCGAAGTTCCCTTTGCGTCTGCAATTGGTCGAGATTTTACTGCGAGGCCTTCTAATCTTCTGCGCTTTGCGATACTATCTTTCGTTCTTTCCGAAGGTTCTGCAGCTTTTCGTTTCTTCGCATCTGATTCTGGTTTGGGGGCTTTCTTTAATGCTGCTTGAAGATTTTTCCAATTACTTGATAAAACAGGTGCCATGACTTTTTCTTTGCATATTCCGTTGTTGATGTTGTCAATATGGCTGCCAAAGAAATAAAATTTGAGGGTTGGGTTTTCACAAAGTAAATAAAATAAATGTATTCTGATAAGGCAAGGCTCTGGCTGATAAAACCACCTACTCGAGTACCAAGTAAGGTAGGTTATCGAAGGCTAAAGAAAATGCGAGAACATTATTTTTACAGCCTTGTTCTATCAATTTTGTCCCTCCAAGAAAGAAGAATCAACCTGCAACTACATAGTGATATATCAATCAAAATCAATCAAAAATCAATTCATAACCATCAAAATAATTATTTGATTCCATCATGACAGGTCCGTCGCAAGATAAAGATAGTTCTGTAGGAACTCCAGTACCTAAGCAGAAGAGTAAGGCGACAATTGATACATTGGGGTAAGTTCCAATACCATTTCACGGTCGCAAGATTGATGGTGCTAACCAATGCCTGTAGGGTAGGATGTATAGCAATGGTACAGAAGGTTAGTAACCACATGTATTTGCTTCACCACTTGAACGTCAATCATCCTTTTGTGGCCTTTACTGCCATTTCTCCATCCTTTTGGAGACAAAGAACTCATTTATTTGCTCTACCTAAAAATCGATATACTAATTCCACATCAGGATGGTGCGCTTAGAAGAGCAGAAATTCTAAGTATAAAAGAGACGAAAAGTGGTCGTCAATTTTATTGCAATTTCGATAATTTCAACAAACGTCTAGATGAATGGGTTCCAGCTATCAGGATTGACTTTACTCAAGATGTTGAATGGCCAGCTCCAGAAAAACCGAAGGAAAAGGCAAAAGCTCCTCCAGCTGGGAAAAAGACAATCGTTGCCAACAAGAAGAATCAAAAACGACCAACTCAAGCAAGCAAAAGAGAAGATTCTGTAGTTTCGGAATCTGGTTCAAATGCTCCTCCATGGTCTGAATTTGCGGAGTCTCAAAGACAGACTCCAGATGCTGATGGAGATGCAAAACTTACCATGGCATTAGATCTTGATGCTACTCCTGAAGCCAATGATCCCATGGATGTCGATGAAGCTGCAACTGAAGCTGCAAATGCAAAGAATGAACCTGCTCAACATTTCAGTCCAAAGGAAGAAATCGAAAAATTAAGAACTAGTGGCTCAATGACTCAAAACCAAGCCGAAATATCACGTATTCGAAATATTTCCAAAGTTCAATTCGGTAAATTCGAGCTTTACCCCTGGTATTTCTCTCCTTACCCGGAAGCATTCACTCAAGAGGATCTCATGTACATTTGTGAATTTTGTTTATCTTACTATGGAGACCTCAAAGCTTTCACTCGTCATCGAGGCAAGTGTACATTACAACATCCTCCTGGAAATGAAATTTATCGGGATGACTACGTCTCTTTCTTCGAAATCGATGGTCGACGTCAACGAACTTGGTGTCGAAACTTATGTCTCATATCCAAGATGTTTCTGGATCACAAGACTCTTTACTACGACGTGGATCCTTTCTTGTTTTATGTCATGTGTTCTCGAGACGAAAAGGGGTTTCATTTGGTGGGATATTTCTCAAAAGAGAAAGAAAGTGCGGATGGTTATAATGTAGCTTGTATTCTGACACTTCCGCAATATCAACGTAAAGGTTATGGACGACTTCTGATCAATTTCTCCTATGAGCTCTCGAAAATCGAAGGAAAGCTCGGCTCGCCCGAAAAACCCCTATCTGATCTTGGTCTCCTCTCATATCGACAATATTGGACCGAGCGAATTGTTGAAGAGCTTTTGATTCACAATGAAAGGGACGAGAGAATTAGTATAGAAGGTTTATCGCAAAAGCTCAATATGACGAGTGCTGATGTAGAACATACACTACAGGCGCTGAAGATGCAGGTTTACCACAAGGGAGAACACAAGATGGTTTTGCCGACGGCGTTGATCAAGAGGCATGAGGCGATGAGGGAAAAGCAGAAGTTGAAGCCGAAAAGGGTGATTGATCCTTCAAGGATTGTTTGGAAACCGTTCAAGTTGGTGGATAGAACGTGGGGGTGGTAGAGTGGGTTAAAGGGGCTGATGGACGCTCGATGGAGAAGCTCTTGGCTCTCTGTGGAGAATTGGCGTTAAAAATCTGTGATGCATATTATTTAGCGTGCGATTATTGGAGAATTAATGCATTAATCATTAGATTTAGGGACATATCTGCAACCATGCGTGAGACATATCACTTCGAAGTGTACGAAACTTACCCCATTCCATGACACTGATTATTTGAAGGAATCACATGTGTATAACAGCTCCAAAGCCAACAAGGTAAAATATCTCGGATATCGTATCGACGAACGACGACAAGGTTATCACGGACAATTCCAAATGCGGGTCCCAATCCATAAAATGAAGTCTCCATAAAATAAAGTGTTATGGATCAATTGACCTGGGTATGTTTGATGAACGAACTTTATTTACAATGTTATTTTGACCATGTGGTGAATATAAAAGAATGATTGGTACGAAGATAAGAAATGAGCTTTCAAGAGACGGGATGATGCTAGAATTTTATATTGGCGTACAGATGGGTTTGGTGGTGGAGAAAAGTGCATCGTGGGAATGGAATTCAATGAATTGGCAATGTGAGTATTTCGACTTTTTTCCCTATGATGTATTTCACAACATGCGACCTCACAAGCAATAAAAGTAAAATGATGTTGTAAAATAGTTGGTTCAATTCATATTTGAATTTGGCGATTGGGAAAATAATTACAAGAAGGTATATTTCATCATCTTTAGCCAGGCTCTCTACTCAGCCATCTGATTCGTATCATCTACCTCTACCTCTACCTCTACGGTTCATCAAACTCCATTCCATGCCGAAACTCCTGGTTTTCGTAATTTACTCGGCATCGCAAGTATCATCGTCATCGCCAGCCGAAGCAGAGGTGGAATGAGGAGCGGCGACACTGGTCTTTGCGGATTTAGTGGCGGAAGAATGGGAAGTAACTGCTGGTGCGGAGGAAGCCTTAGAAGAAGGGACAGCGATGTGAGAGACAACTGCTGCAGAAGATGCCTTGGAAGAAGCTGCGGAGCTTGGTGCTACAACAACAGATGAAGAGCTAACTGAAGTTGGGGCAACAGAAGAGGTCTTGGCAGATGTTGCTGCTGCAGGAGTGCTTGCAACTGGGGAAGCGGATGCACTTCCCGAAGCATCTGGAGCTGGCATGCTTGAATCATCGGCTCTCTTACATCCAGTGCTCTTGGTCAATGCTGCTGGACATTCGACTTGTTTGAAATCGACGGTTGGGTTATCGGCACTTTCGAACCAATTGAATCTGAAGTTGCAACCTGGTTGAAGGGCAGCTGGGAAGGTTGAGCAGGAAGAAACGGCGGCGACACCACCATATTGTGAACCCCATCCAGAGGAAGGAGCACCGAATTCGGTTGTACAACCATTGAAGATTCCAACACCTCCACCTGGGATAGCCAAATCAAATTGGTTTGAGCCAAGATCACCACCGGTGTTACTACATTCAGAGTAATGTTAGAAGACGCATTTAGGGGGGAAAGGGGTGAAATGAATGGAAAAAGTATTAACGTACGTAGCTTGAACGATCATCTTCTTGCCAGCAAGAGCAGTGCTGGTGAAAGTCAATTCATAACAAGCACAACACCATGAAGCCTCGCTTCCACCAGCGATGTTAACGGCAGCATAACCATATGCCAAATCATCGCTAACTGCCCAAGGAGATTGGTCTGAGCACATGTAAGAGTTTCCACCGTCGCATCCAGAAACAGCAACTGCGGTAGGGTCTGAAAGAGGTGAGTCGTGAACATCGCAGGTTCCGACTGGTCCAGAGCCAGATTCGAGAGTAGCTTTGCCAGACCAAGCGCAAGATGGCTTGCAGCAATCCCAGTAACGAGTGGTGGTACCGGAACCAGAGGCTTGAGCACTAACTTGAAGGAAGAAAGGGAGGAGAGCGACGAGAGTCTTGATTGGGAGCTGCATTTTGAATTTGGTTGTGTGATTGAAACGGCGGGGAGAAGAATTCTTATTTTTATTTGGTCTCGGACCGGAAACTTAGATATGTACTTGAAAAGAGTGAATAAACTCGACTTGGAGTTATGTATGAAAGGTGCGAAAGGCTTTCGAAAAGAGCGTGATAATCAACAATGAATGTGAGGAGCAAAGGTGCTTGAAGGAAGAAGAGAAGAAGCGCTTATGATAGAGAGGGATTATTCCTTATAAACATATAGGCATACTCCATTAAATTTGTCTACGATAGAAGGCTTTCCAATTAATCTATTCATCTCTCCGATTGTATATTGGAAACAGTGGCGTATGAAAGGAACGGTAAGCGACTTGAGCTTCAAATGAAAACCAATTGAATGACGGCCAAAATGAGTGTACCCCTGATCGCAATCCTTGATGACAGACAAGGAATTAGATGATCGTTTGTTCGGTTCATTCGGATATGATGAATTTATTTTAACCGACCCAGTAACATCTAACTATATTTTTAAAGGTTGGTCTCCTTAATTCATCTCATCGTTCGTACCTGCATATGATTTTTGCGGACTGTACCTTTCAAGTTCCAATCAAGTCTTTTTTGGAAATTGGATCGCGCCAAATGATAGGGGAAAATCGATTGGCTATCTAGACTGCAATGTTTTCTTGATTTGCTTAGAAGTAGAAGCAAATTGGGAGATTGAAGTGGATTTGTGACAAGCTGTGCATCCATCCTGTATTGTTGCTTTTTTAATATAAATCTAGACTGACTCAGGATTATCCGTATTGGAATTGAATCAGACGCTGCTTCATCCTGAACTTTTCAATTCAAGAAGAAAATACCAACAAGTACTTTTGTTGATACCCAAACTCAGTCAGGTCATTCCATTCCAAATGAAAGATAACTGAAGGCTGAAGTGAATGTAAACTTCATCGTTGCCTCCAGAATGAGACCGAATGTAAATTCTGTGGCACAGTACCTAATCTCGTTTCTTGACCCTTAACATAACAAAAGGAAGCCGAGGGAAGTTTTACGTCGTACTCTTCGCTAGCCCCACCATGAATAGGCGCAGCAAGTAAGGTAAGCACCCCTGAATGTAACAACAAATCCATGCATCCATCTACTGTACTTCGAATTAAAACGGCTAAGCCATTTGATTAACCGTCCATCCGAGATTCCTATAGTCAGCCTTGAGATCTTCGATCCACCATTGAATGGATTAAGATCCTAGATGTTAATTGTTCAACTGTTTGAAGTCTGTAAGATTATTCTGTACAAGTAATCGTTCGTATGAAATGTCAAGACCGATGATTTCGATTATGGGTGCGGCAGCAACAAACTTAATATCTATCCTCAGTTTGTACCACTTCGAGGAACTAGAAAACAGATATAACACTGCAAGGTTTCTACACATTACATCACTTGGCTGTCCGAAGGATTTCTTAGTGTCGTGGATGTCGCTGTGTATTTGATATATGATTATGAAGAAGCGAAGTTGGTCAAAAGATGTTAGGATTCGAACATCGCTTTAAGGGGGGAAGGAGAGACAGAAAGAAGAGAGTTAAACACGCTTTTAATAACTATTTTGCTGTGAGTGTTAGATGATCGAACGATCTCAAATCGTTTGGAATCATGCGATGGATATGCACAAATAAGATCTATTGAACAGATCTATGTCGATGTTTCATCGTTGGATATCATCCATCGACTCGAATAGTATTAAATGTTAGTATATCTCACAATATATGAACTGCTGTTAACTTTTCATTATACGATGCATAATGTATAGAATCTATCGAGGCTACAAAATGAGATCACGCTCCGCTGGCTCTCCGAGGGCCACTGCCGTGGCGGCAGACTATTTAAAAAGAGATATGAAGAGTTGAACGTTGCCTACCTACCTGCCTACCTACCTACATACATATATACATACATATATACATACATATATACATACATATATACATACATATATATATACATACATACATACCTATTACTTACATAAAGACATACTTTATAGATAATAATGAATATATAAATGATATCATGTGAATGGATACCAAAATAGGTTCGAAATGGGAAAAGCGGAAATAGATCCTCACGTGATCTGACAACTATCTTTTATCTATTTCTAATCCCTTATCTCTATCGCTTCACGCCTTCTCATTCGTCAATTTTCTCGATCCTGGGGTAAGTACGGGTCTAACGAAGATACTAGCTTCAATTGGTGATAGCTCGCGTGCTTTTTCAATCATGGTACGAGCTTCTAAACTTATGAGGTCAACATCGAAGCATTTATTAGCTTTCACTTCTTCCGAGGTCTCCTTCATCCGTGATTCCAAGTATCAACCATCAATCCGCTCACCCGCAACTCATTTGTGAAACCATCTACTGTTCATTTTTTATTTTCAACTCAAGATCCAAACCATAAGAATAGAATTGAGAAGAATAGTACAACACAACATAAAACAACGAGAAAGCAGCAAAATGGCGCCACCAGCTCGAGCCCTCCTCTCGTATGTTTATCTCCCCCAGTCTCCCTTCAATTCGTTTCTGCCTTGTTATGTACTCGATACTTGTTGTCAATAACTCGATCGTCTTTATTGGCGAGTGCTACAAATATACACTTGTTCTAACTTCACATTCGCAGACGTCAAAGATTGATCCTTGGTACCTTTCTTGGTGGCGGAGCTCTTTTCGTCAGTATGAAATGGAAAGCCGTCATGCAAAGAAGTGAGGCTGCGAAGATTGCTGGATCAAAACAGAACTTTGCTGTTGCTGCTGGTAGAAGCGGTGAGACTTCGCAATAACCCCGAATCGGTGATTGTTTGCTAACTGACGGTGAAGGTGGTGGAATTTGAACAGTCTAATGGACTCGATCGACAACTGGTCAGAATTATAACTTGGGAGAACATTGGCACACACGGAATCGGACATTACATGGCAGATATGATAGATGATAAACACGCATATACAAATGAGGCTGCATTAGGTTCACGATGAAACAGAGGAAGCATAGTCTAGGGCGTTTGGGAATCATTTTGGTGACGAAGAGAAAACCATACAGAAATACCTTGAGCTGGATGATAAGATCATATTACTCCCAATCATGACATTTGGCTAACATGCTCATACTGATAAAGATTCTCAACCTTCTCAGATACCATTTCATTTCAAGACTTCACCAGTAGGTTTCTTTTGGGATTCGTGTTTGAAAAGGAACTTCATGTCATTCAAGTAAGAATATGAGAGCATTTCAATCTCTCAATTGGAATGAGAGAATCAGATTCCGTGTTGAACAACACAAGTCCTGGTCATCTAAAGTCTATTTGAGATCAAAGAGAGGTTCGCTCATACACAGTGTAAAGTTAACTTCAACCCGGTGATAAGGAGCTGATATCTTTCAATTCCATCACACAAGTCTGTCAAAGACAATCCGTTATGATCTCTCTGTCTCCCTCCCCTCTTCGTCTTTCTTTTCCCCTCACTCTTTCTGTTCCCCTCTCTCTTTCTGTTCCCCTCTCTCTTTCTGTTCCCATCTCTCTTTCTCTTCTCCTTCCTCTTCCTCTTCCTCTTCCCCTGTCTCTTTCTGTGTGTGTATGTGTAAGTATCATTCGAAGATTCTTGAATGTGAATTATTCATTGACACCTTAGGTGTGTGAAGGTAAACGTAGCAATTTGTCATATTAACTCATGATTGATTATGTTCTGACTTAGTAAATGCTACTAGCTACTAGGCAAGTAGTACATTCTAAAGTCTGCTGAGCTGATGTCATTAGCTTGGCGTAAAAATTCAATTATCCAAATCCTCTGGGTCAAATCTACTTCTACTTACATTTCATATATTGAGAACATCATCAAATTCATGGTATTTCCCTTCTCCCTTCAGCATTCTTCCTTCATCCTTCATTCATTCTTGATCTTTCCTTTTATGTCCAATTTCTGTCTTTTAATACACTATCATTCTTTGACCTACACACGATCAATCTCATCGCACAAATTTTCTACACTGTTCATTTCTCTCCAAATATATCACTGAGTGATTAATTGGCTCTTTTCCTCTACAATTACTTCTCATCATTCTCATCATTCTCATCATTCTCATCATTCTCATCATTCTCATCATTCTCATCATTCTCATCATTCTCATCATTCTCATCATTCTCATCATTCTCATCATTCTCATCATTCTCATCATTCTATTCCTCTTATAAACCACAACATTCAAACTTCACCGAAATAAGCGGGCACTGAAAGTGGTCTCTCGTCATATTGAAACCTCATCAGAAAATTTCAAAATGAGTTTCAATCTTCCGGCGGAGATGTTGTTGTCAGTGTGCGATTACTCATCTTCTGTATCGGCAGCTGCTCTCTCTATATCCTGTAAGGCACTGTATCATAAGTTGAATGGTCATTTTACCAGAGATTTGAATGAAGAAGATAAGTTAGCACTACTGGATCGATTGGCTACTGAGGATGAAATTGGTTGCCCATACTGTCTTCGTCTACATAGTATGTCAAATGCAGCAAAATATAGCTTGGGATCAGTAGAAGAGAGACGCCAGTTCCAGGAATTGACACCATGTGTTTTATCTTCTTTCAAATCTCTAAATCATAGACCTGCCAAAATTTCTGGTGTTATCTTCAAAATGGCCATGAAACGTCATCAGTTCAAGCCAGAATGCGATGAGCTGTTGAAGTTATTGTCAAGAAATTCACCAACTCCAGAGATCGACAACAGTGATGGTGCCTCTTGGCAGATTCAGACAGAATGTAAGATTACACAAGGCTTGATGATCTATCGTAGACAGGAATCAGTCCTTTTCTCAAATTTCATGGTTGACAAAAGGTCTTGGCACGTAGATATTGAGGTTTGCGCGCACCTCACTATATCTTTGAACGCAGAGCGTGCACGACTTATGGACTTGGGCAATAAGAGACTCTTAAATTCCTTCTCAAAAGTGTTACCACTGCCACTTTCACAGCTCCCAGGTCACATTCAAGCACCACAAACTCCCGTACCAGCAAGACCTACATGTGTCAGATTCCAGGCGATGGCTGATCAGGTCAATGGTAATCCTGATTTCAATTGGCCCGTTCACAGCACAAGAGAACCTTTGAAATGCGATGATTGTCCCACCGAATACTGCCTCGAGCTTGACTTCAATGACAGTCGAGGAGTTTTCGCAACAGTCACTACTTGGGCCAATCTGGGAAGCGGGCCTCATGATTGGAGGTATCTGATGAGAAATGTTGAGCCACATGCTGCACATAAGCGTAGTTTGAGTCAAGGTAGAAATTGCTATGACTCCTCGCATCAGAGCCATTGGTCTGCTTTCCAGAATGAGGAGGATGGAGAGGCTAGCTTGCTTTCATCGGAGGAGAATAAGGAGAGGATGTATCAAGCACAAGTTGACGGCGCTACGTCTTCTGACGAAGAAGGATATTAGGCGTTTGGTGCCAGAGATCTCTACCATATGATGTTTGGATCTATTTGGACATTTGGACGCGGATCATGGCATATTAATGAGGTTGTTTTGGATTTTCAGGATAGACGAGCATAGTGACAAAAGCGGTCATTCTATGGTAGTAGAATAATCAAATGTTTAATGTAATTCCTTGACTTCCAATATCAGGCAGTGATGATAAATAGTCTGAATATAGGGCACATTGTTTCCGCCTCAGAATCAAGGACAATTCTTCCGTCCACCAGTCAGATTGAAGTATCCGAGACAAAACTATATATGTCTATATATATTTAACTAACTTTTTGGACAATACGGACATGTTATCCAATAATTTAGACTGAAATACTGTATATAAATTCTTATCATCTCATAAATCAAGCTGTTTCACGAAGTAAAATTCGGGTTTTCATTCACTTGGAAATAGTCTAATTGTTCATGGCAATCTAAAGCTTCCGATTGCCGAATTGCGACCCGGGTCATGTGAAACTCTAGATATAGAGAATAACAAAATGATTTAGATGCTCAGAACAACGTCTTACAAATGAATTATTATGACGATGCCTCACCCTTCCTGAACGACACCCTGCAAGGAAATCCATCTGCAGGATGGGCAGCTCCTCCATCAACCTGATATGATCTTTCTCCGTCTATTTCTTTCATCCCCTTTTTATCACCGAATTTTTTATCCCATTCTGCATAAGCATCCTGTACATCCAACTCCCTGACGACCATGGACAATATAATTTTTAATTCCATCATCACCAAAGCCTGCCCGATACAATTCCTTGGTCCCAGCTCAAATGGCCTCCAAGCTCCCTTGGTATCACAATACAATTCATCGCCTGGCTGCGCAAGCCATCTCTCAGGTAGAAACTCTTTAGGACGTGCCCAATATTTTGGATCATGTTGAATTGGCAAGTGGAGCGTGTATAACATGCAATTTTCAGTCGGATAGATGTTTCCCTCTTCATCAACCAAGTCCACACCTTCTAGTCCTTGTCTAATACTCGATGCGGGTGGGAAGAGACGAAGAGTTTCTTTGATGACGGCGGTTGTATATGGCAATTGATTGATCAGAGTCGAATCCTCTTTGATAAATTTCGGAACAGCGGTAATATCAGTTCCGAATACTGAATCGTGTTCTTGGATGAGTTTTTCGAGGGCAGAGGGATTTTTAGAAAGAAGATAGTAACACCAGGATATGGCACTACCTGTTGAATCATGTCCGGCGAAGAGAAGGAGTCGGATGTTGCGGGTAGCGATAGTGCGGAATTCTTGGTCAAGATTGGTTGCATTGACTCGAGCAGGATCAGCCATGTAGTCCTCAATAACTAGATCAATGATTGACTTAAAGGGTTCTGCTTTGTCGTCTGAGTGGCCATTTGTCTCGGAATTCTTAGATAGCTTGTAAGCCTCAAAGCGCTTATCAAGTTCTACGTTGATATACGCATCCATTTTCCGACCATTGCTCCACTCTTTAATTGGACGTACGAAATTGAGCCATTGGGCAGGATTTACTTCTTGATTCGCAAGTTTACTCTTGATTTGATTCAACATGGTATCTGCAAGAGGGTTGTATCCTCTCTGAGCGTTGAGCTTTGCGTTCCTAGATTGTGTTAGAATTTCTCACTTCGCCTATTTTGACTCTCCTATTCCACGCATACCACCTTGCAGTGAATGTAGCGAAACGAATTGACTTACAAAGCAGTATTCCCAATCAAATCGATCATAAATCTCAAATTGATTCCATCTAGCTCAATCATCTCTCCATTTCTTGCCTTTTCTCTTAATCCCTCCGTGTAGATTTCAACCTCATCTGTAATACCGGGAACAAAATTCATTAGATACTTGTTGCTGAACCCCCTGGCAAAGAGATCTCGTAGATTTTTCCACTCATCATATTCCGCATCAAACATACTGATACCACCTGCGATGCTCCAGAACCAAGTTCTCAGAGCATCAGGTTTACGATATGATATCGGAGTAGATTGTACAGCTTGATTTGCGAGAAATGGAGAAGTGATGATTAGGAATGGGGCAGCGAAGGGATACAGATCAAGGTAGAATGCGCCATTGCGGGAGTATTTGCGGGCGAGAGCAGCAAAAAGGTATACTTTTAGTGCATCTGCTGGGAAACCTTTGATGACATTGGCTAGCTCGATAAGATGGCCAGCGAGGAAATTATGAGGTGGCATTGGCTGAGAATGTTAGTGTAACAGATCACGTTTGACAAGGAAAAGAACTTACCAAGCCACGAGCTGATAATTTTGTGAAAAAACTCCGCGCGGTATATATCTTAGGTAGAAGCCATAGTATGAGAGTAAGAAAGGACAATAAACCCGTGGTCAATATGAGGTCCATTATCGCGTTTTGTCCCAAGTAATTGCAAGCAATCTGGAAATTTTGGATTTTTTACTTCGGAATGCTTGAAAAGATGGTGAAGAAGACAGTTTTAAGGGTGTTGACAGATTGATTGGAAGTGATTGGGTAAAAGTGCTGGCAATGTACGCACAATGTTGTTCTTTAAGCGCCAATGATGCTCTTATCGCCCTAGCGAACCATGAAAACCGCAACCCCTGAAAACCGATTTTTAGAACCGTACTCTATACATTTGCAACGCCTGTAGGATACAGTCACACTGCCCGTATCTCTCAAATATTTGTCTGATTTAGTACAACAGGTTTGAATGACTAAGCATGATCCTCTTCCAGTTAAACCTCTTTTTTACATGTTTTCTAGCTTTACTATTCGCTCTTCTGACTTGGAGGATCGAAAGAACCCGATATCATATATTATTATTATCAAAAATTGAAGATATACAATATATTAACTAATATTTCATTTAGAAAAGGGGGGCAAGCGAATAAAAAAAGAAAAGAGTTATTTAGAAGCTTAATCTTGATTTGAATTATTTACTTTAGCAAATTTCATTTGAAACTTCTTTTCTTGAGTTGTGTAGAATTCTATAAGATATAAGGTGTATTAGTTTACATAGTAAGATCTTATATTCTTAATATCGGACTATGATTTGGTAGTATAGATTCCTCTATCGGAATCATAACATTCGGCTTTTGAAGTTTTATAGGATAGGATGGTGATGTCTCACTGAGTGTAGTGACGATCACAGTGACTATTTGTGAGTAACACTCAAGTCATCACATTGAAATATCTTTTGGACGAGGTGAATGAGTTCGAGGTAACATTCTCATCTTACTGAGTCTTCCAGAGCATAAAAGAATGTAATCATATCGTCGCCAGAGTGTTCAAAATGCGGATCTGACACGTCCCCAACGGTGATCTGCTAAAAATGTCAGAATGGAAATGAATAACCCTGTCTTCACGTAATCGAAAAAATGGGCAGAAATTGATACCCCTAGGAAGAACTTCAACAAATTGGGGGTCTCTTCAAGATTGTTATGTACATATGATCCCCATTTTTGATATTAAGAAGGCTCAAATTCTCGTTTGGTTTCTTCAGATTTTAGTATTTGATTTGAAATAGATTTACAATTCAATTAAAGAAGTCCTTCAAAAAGGTACTTAAATTCTGCCTGTTTTTTCCGCGTACCTAGAAGAAGAGCCTGTCTGTCTACTGTACTTTCATTCCCGATGACAATATTATTTATTGGTCCGACCCATATAAATCTGGCAAAATCAAAAAACTGACTGGACAGAACAGATACCTACCTACTCGTGCCACTAGAAAGTGTGCAACTCCACTGCTAAGGACACCAGGTTCGTCCTCTTGTACTCTGTAATTTACTATCTCGGCACAGTGCTTCGGAGTTGCGACGGTTACATAATTTCTGGCCCCAC